AGAAAAATTTATGGAAACTGCCAAATTTCGCGTTATTCGCAGTAGCGATTTCGTTTTCTCCGTTGATTTCCGGGTGGGCGAGTTACTCTTGTGCTGAAATCACTATCGCGAACGCTTCGCTCTGTCTCTCGGCTGGAGGGCTACAGTTTGATGGTGACGGCGGTGCTGGGGAAGCCATACGGAGGGCAATCAGAGGACCAGACGTTCCAGGGATGGGTAAGGCCCGCTGCGCGCACACCTTTCTCCCGCAAAGCGTCAAGATTTCCCCTTCCCCTCCCCTCGAGGTCCACCATCCTTTCAGTAAATATTATACATTTGCCTTTCTCCAACATACGATTCATCGTGCCACCTAACTTTTGCCTCGGCTTAAAAACTATATTACCATTACTAATCAGCGCTCATACGTACACAGGTGGTCAAACATGTTCGCCCAAACTATATTCAAATTCTTACATCTTAAGATTTCAAGATACTCGAAAGGAAAAATAAGGTCAGTCGAGGGTCAAACATGCGGAAGGGGTGGTCCCCACAGCTGTCGGGGGCAAAACCGATGTCACTACTAATGAGTGTACGTCTTCGAATTATGTTAACCGCTGATCAACAAACAAAAAACATTCCAAATCCTTTAGCATTCAAAATAAAGATGGCGACAAAATGTGAAAGAACAGGACACTGAACAAGAAGTACAAAGCAATGGAGTGCGCGGAATCACAGACAAGTACCGGCCGCGCCTTCGAACCGTTCACTTTCTTTCGTGGATACGAGATACGGCATCTGAAAGTCTCATCTTTAGTGTGAACAAAATTCCAAGGCTGTAGGCTTACCGATTTTTAATGGGACTCGGTTTCACGGTGAGAATACGAGACGGCGTGGACGTGGTGGTCGTGGTGGTCGTGGTTGTGGTGGTAGTTGTGGACGTTGACGTGGTGCTGGTTGGAGCGTTTGTTGTGCTGCTGTTGAAGGAAGTGAATCCGCCGATTTTTGTAGTTGTCCTCGCACTGGTGCCGATATTCGGTCGAGGTGTCACACGTATTGATGGAAGCTTTGAGGGAGGAGGTGGTCGGATCAAGTCGATCTCAGTTGGATCACATGTTTCTTTGTCTGAAATGTTTCATTGACGTTATGGTACGTATCAGGTTGGGTAAAGAGTCCTGATCCAATTTCTATTTTCATTTGCGAGACTCCATTTTTTTAACAAGGAATCTCACTACCGGTCTAATAGCAAGGTATGGCCCATTCATGGTCAACAATATGCTTTCATCGACTCGGCAGCTTTCCGATTTTTGAAGCCCAGCGCTATTGCGGCTGCGAATGGAAAAAGTTTGATCTCTGTTTTAGTTGCAAGTGACCATCAGTTCTTATTGTGTAAATGATGCTTGTGGGCACAAAATAGATGGTCGAATTAGGTCAGCTAACCTGCAACTGAAAAACATACACCTGAGCGGTCGCGGTGAATCCAGCTCAGTCAGTATTCTCTGAGAAACCGCCAAAACAAAGCCGAATCTTACTCTCGCGTAGTTCACCTCTTGGGCACTGGCGGTGTCGGTCAAGTAAAAGGCTATCCTCCCCATTGAAGGTTGAAAACCCCTTGGAAAAAGGATATCCTGGTGAAGAAGTAAGACAAATGGGGCGCCGAGTGAAGTCTCGTAAGTTAACACATTGCGTACCGAGTGCATCACATGGTGATGCACGCAGTTACTTGCTCGCGTGGCCACGTGCATCACATAGTGATGCATCACATTCAAACCCAAATTTCTATCTTCTTTCCCTTTTCTTTTTTTTTAAAAAAAAATGCGACAACAATAGCTGGTCGAAATCTGCAAGCATATGTTTTCGAATATGCTGAATAACATATCTGCCTGGGACTTCACCAACTACGAAAATATGATTGGTTCAGACACCATTTTTTGAAAAACGACTTTCACAATAACAACTTTTATTGTAATGTTCTTCCCGTAGTCTTCTTGCAGTGATATTGATAACAATGATAGTAATCGTTCTAAAGACCCGGCCATGTACTTCGATGAAAATGAAAATTTTGAACTTCTTCGAAAGTTGAACAATTAGAGTGAACATAGTAGAGAGCCCGTAAACTTAGTGTGATGAAACTGATAACTCGTGAAACACATTGATAAGTGGGCATTTACACTGAAATTATACTAAGATAGAGACTAGCGCTTATACTAAGATTTCCGTACATTGCTCAGGATAAAAATGAATCAAAGACTTCCCTAGAAAGTGATAACCTAGCAGTCATGCTAAAGATCCCGTACATTCTTTGCGATAAAAGTGATGGCAGTCTATGCGATCATTCTAAAGTTCCCGTACACTTTTTGTGATACAATTGATCGATCGTAACCCTTTACATCAAGAAAGCTTCAGTTTGTAGAAATTTAGAGTCTAAATAGCATCACGCTAATAGCAAGAAGACTACAAGATGATTTGTATAAGGAATATCAAATAATTCTAAAGAAGATGTGTAAACAACAAAATATTTCCTACCCTACGAAATTACAGGCATTTATGTTATTCTCCATATTCGAAAACATGTGCAATTAGATTTTAACTCCAATAAGAGGGAAATACAGGTTGTCTGGAAAAAAGACAGTCCCCTGTGGCCAAGTGCATCACGTGGTGATGCATGCCGCAAGCCGAAAAAAAAATCGCTTGGCCACGCGCGCGGGAAAGCCGCAAATGGCGCCGGTACGCAACGTGATTAAATAAAAGCTTCGTGGCAGAAGGCACGCTATCAAAGGCGTGTAAGGCTCCGAAGGTATCTCAACGACATCCACGCCTCAAACACCCCCATCGCCGGCACGTAAAAGGGATGGTAACGGCCGTGTATTTGAAAAGAAATGGCTCTCGTCATGTTCCATTTTTCTATTACAAGAGCACTGTTGCACCAGCCATCGAAGCAGCAACGCTATCGATCCGTGTTGGCATGATGCCACTGCCTAAGATCACCCGACTCTGATGGGGACAGCTAAGGTTCGTGGGCTCAACCGTTTTACAGTTTTTTGACCACGTACCACGTGACTCCGACCCACATCTGCTTCATTCTTTCATCGGTCTCATTTTACAGTGACCGCTGCCTTTTTAGAGAAAGGGTTGCATAAGTTCTCCACCCACTTGACCGTCTGATCACCTCGTGGGCGCGGGTGTCCTCCAAGAGGCCCATCGCGCGGCGAAGGAAGAGACGCAGACGCGGCAAAGGACGAGTCGCAGCGCATACTGTAGCGGTTAGGCGTCAGGTTAAATAGAGTGTACCATACTACGTCTCATATCGCACAGCACGCGCTGCGACTCGTCCTTTGCCGCATCTGCGTCTCTTCCTTCGCCGCGCGATGGGCCTCTTGGGGGACACCCCGTGGGCGCGGGCTTTCTCTCATGTCACTATACACCATGAGGCATCGAAATGTGGCATCGGGCAAAGCGTTCATCGGAATGAATGCACAAGTGAAATGTGAGGAACTCGCAAACGATTGCGGTCAAGTCTGTGCCACTGAGTTAGGAATATTGCTTCCATGGAAAAGGAATGGGTGAAGAGTTCCCGAAAGGCTTCAACCAAAAGCTGATTATCCTCTAAACTTCCGAATGTTATCGAATGCTTTACCTGGATGGACGAAACAACAGCATATCGTGTGGCCTTCATGGTAGTAGCACCTGAAACGACGCGCAACTTCATAGCCCTAACCTTTGAGTTCAAATGAGCGATGTAGGATAGTCAGCAGAAATCGTACCTGTCTCCGTCCTTCTTTTGGTGTACCAAGAGGCAGTATCGGTACAACTCGTCGTTCAGATGCCTGTAGACACAATGAGTTTCCTCACTTTCGTCGAGATCTTCTGAAAACTTCTCGTTCAAATTTTTGGCGGACGAGATCGAGTGAAACGAGTTTAGCTTGAACATCTTCGCAGCCTCTCCTCTTTTCTAAGGTGTTCTGCATTGAGAAAGCAAGGAGTAACTTCCCGCGAAACAAAGGGAAAGAGATGTTGGCT